AATCTGTTGAGAGAGCTTACTACACTGATCAAATCATATGTCTAGACCCACTCTCCTCCTAAAAAAATAAAATTGGCGTAAAATGCTAAGAAGAGATTTTTGGAATAGGCCTGCTTATTTCCAAAGCATAGATCCAGAGTTGTTATTTGAATATATATGTGTATATACACCTGAAACATAGCTCCTAGATATATATGTATGTGTGTACATATATGTGTAATATACAGATATATATTTATATGTAGAGATCTGTGGAGTTCTATCTGTGTACCATATCCTGAGTCATGTTTCATTTTGGTCCAATGCTTTGGCTGATGTGAAGAGAACTGGGGCAAAAATGACCTGGGGTTGGCCAGCATGTGACTGGGAGAAGAGAGAACAGCACTGAGAAGGCAAGATGGCATGGTCCTGGAGAGAATATGCCTCTGGACTAGCCCTCATTGTTGTATAAGGATGCTATGATAGCAAGTCTGTGCCTCTGGGCAAAGCAGACTAACAGGGAAGCCAGAGGTTATAGATATGGCCTGATGGGAGCAGCCTGTCTCAAACAAAAGCAACCAGAGAAGAGCTTGTGCCTCCAAATGCCTACCTTTGAGGAGCCAGGAGTTGCCCTCAATTACCAGTTCCCTCAACTGACTGACCTTTTATACTCCTGGAGGCCATGAGTGGAACAGCTATGAAGAATGTTCATTAGTTCTGCATGAGAGCAGCTGACAGAGTTGCTGAGCCCAAGCACCTGGATTGCACTCAGGAACTCCTAGCTTTGGGCACTGATTAAGGATGATGTAGGTCTGCAAGTAAAGTTAGCTTAGCCAGACTTATAAGACAAACTCCATGGTCCACTGATTAGGGTCCACTGAAACATAGCGGGGAAGGAAAGAGGAAGTCTCCTGGTCGGTGGGAAGGTAAGCAAAGAGTTGAATTGGCTCAATTGAAGAGACCATACCCAGAGACTAGGGAGACAAATCCTACCATACAAAGAAGGATATAAATGGGAAATAGATGATACAGCTGTGCTGTTTGAGAACCAAGCTTGCTATTCCCCCAGAGCAGTGATGTCAAACAGAAATGGCCATCAAATTATGCACAAAGATCCCTGTAGCCATACTAACTTCAGCCATGTAGTAACATTATCTACTTTCTATTGTATTTTTATTTATTTTGTTAACTATTTCCCAATGACATTTTAATGTCTCCCTGTCAGCACTGGGGAGTAAATTGGCCCTGACACCTCTGCCCCTTTGCCCCAGAGGACCCCTTGTTGTTGGGTAAACCAACACCTGGACTCCCTCATCCCTGAAAAAAGTCGGGGTGGTTGGATATAACAACTGACATAAATAAAGCTTTCTGGTTTATATATCATTTTACATGCTTTATTTCCTTTGATTCCCATTATTGTTTAAGACAGATATCAGAGATATTACTCTCTTCACTTTTTAGATGACAAGACGGAGGCTCAGAAAGGTGACACGTGTTACCCACAGTCACCAACCCAATACACGTTGGAAACAAGATCTAAGAAGAATGAAAGGAGAAAAGGATTCTCTCTGTGCTTCTGTGATATTGCTCAGTCATTTCAGTCCTGTCCAACTCTTCATGACCTCATTTGGGGTTTTCTTGACAAAGATCCTGGAGTGGTTTGCCATTTTTTTTCCTCTAGCTCATTTTACAGATGTAGAAACTGAGGCAAATAGGCTTAAGTGCTTTGCCCAGTGTCTGAGGTCAAATTTGAACTCAGGTCCTCCAGATCCAGGTCTGGCACTCTATCCCCTTCACCACCTAGCTGCCCCCTAGCTACATCAGATGAGAAGTGGACTATTAAGGAAATGAGAAGGACTTTGGCACAAGTGAGAAATACTACCTTCTTTCTAAAAGTAGACTCAACAAAAGGGAAAACAGCCTCATAATTAAACCTCCCCAGAAATGGAATGAGCTATCTCATCAAGGAGTCTGTTCCTTGTTGAGGAGCGGAAGTTGGAAGTCTTCAAAATAAGTCTGGATGCACAAACACTTCTTTGGGAATGTTATGGAAGCAATTCATGTTTGATTTGGTTTGGACCAGATGGCCTATAACACACTTCCAGCCCGAGGATGCCCTGATTGCAAACCACTATTTCTACTAATCGGCTGTGTCAAAGTAAGCCTAGAAATCTGAGATGTAACTAAAAACATATTTAGCTAAGCAAAATACAGCTTTGTTGAATGGGTACATTTAACTAAAATGTAAGTGTTAATGGCTTTACAATTTCATTTTATGCATAAGAGTGGAGGGGGCAGCAAAGTGGCACAGTGGATAAAGTGGTAGGCCTGGATTCAGGAGGACCTGAGTTCAAATTTGGCCTTAAGACACTTACTAGCTGTGTGACCCAGGGCAAGTCACTTCACCTGTTTGTCTCAGTTTCCTCATCTGTAAAATGAGCTGGAGAAAGAAAGTGGCAAACCACTCCAGTATCTTTGCCAAGAAAACCTCAAATGGGGTCACAAAGAGTTGGATGTGATTGAAACAACTGAACAACATATAAGGATTGAAGTCTCTTTTGTATCACTATCCTTTGACATTCTATAATATCAGGTCTAAAACTTGGGTGCTTGTATTTCTTAATACCTTCAAGTATGGATGAGTCTCTGGCAATGATATCTTTAAAGCATAGAAATATGATTCTTGGTGATACTTTCTTCAGTAAGTACCACTGGTAAAAAGATGAAGCTAAGTCTAATTCTTGTTTCTCCTAACATACTGGCCTCAAAAAGTTACATTTTACCACCCCATAAATATTTCTACCAGTTCTACCCCACAGAGTTGAATTTATATGCTAACTAAATATTTTTATATAATATCCTCTCTTCCAAATAAATATATTGTTATTCTGTAATGTCTGACCCCTTGTGACCCCATTTGGGGTTTTCCAAGATACTGGAAAAGTTTGCCATTTCCTTCTCCAGCTCATTTTGGAGATGAGGAACTGAGGCAAACTGGGTGAAGTGACTTGGCCAGGGTCACACAGCTAGTAGGTGTCTGAGGCCAGATTTGAACTTAGGTCTTCCCGACTCCCTGTCCTAAGCTTTGTCCTCTGTACCACTGAGCTGCCCCAAATAAATATGAGAAAAAGAGGTAATAGCATTATTATAGCACTTATTTTATAGATCTGTAAGTAGGTTGCATGGCTAAAGAACACAAACCATTTTGAATCAAAAATTAAAGGTAGTATATATACCTTTTTACCATCCTGTCACCTCATTTTTTAATATTAGGGCAAATGTTTCAGATGCCAAGAATGTATGGCTATATATGCCATTTATAAATTTGATGTTTCTCTCAACAAATTGTCTTTCTTTGTCTCAAATCAGGAAGACCCAAGTTCATATCCAAATTCAGATACTTAGTAGCTAAGTGACTGTAGCTAAGTCACTTAACCTCTGGTATTATTCAGTTTCTTCCTCTGTAAAATGAGGATAATAATAGCATCTAACTCCCAGGGTTGTTGTGAGGATCAAATAAGTGTTAATATCTGTAATGTGTTTTACAAACCTTAAAGGATTGTAAAATGCTAGCTGTTACTATTAACAATGCTAGTTGTTATTATTAATAATTGTCCTGGTACTAAAGCCTGTTAGCTATTAACTTCATTCTGACTTCTCCCCTCTCAGTGGCTGAAACAAAGAGTAAATTTGTGAATTCCAAGACTTTCCACTATGCAAATCTGTCACCAACGTGCAAATGAGTTAACACTCATTTTTAATGACTTAAACAGGGATTTCCTGTTGAATGATTTCATTTTCTATGATTGCACTTCGTTTCCTTAAAGCTGGTGTAGTCAAACAACTAGAAGTGAATTGAGAGCATTGAGGATTGGGTGGCTTGGTCAAAAATTGCATGTGTGGTAAAAATAGATTCATTCATCTACTCATTATTAGAAGCTACATTCCTGTTCATTTCTGCATCTATGGAACTCCAAAACATTAGTATGGATTCAAATGGAGGCAATGTCTATAAAAATAAATGAACTGCATTCATAAACTAACATTTTTTAAAATTTAAATTGTATTTGCAAATGAAATTCTTTTTAAAAAATTTTGATTGGCTATCTTAAAGCTATCAGAGATAAAATCAGGGCAAAAGGAATATAGTTACCTTTTTAAAAAAAAGTTATATTAATAGGTCAATAGTGATTTCTAAGACTGAGCTGTTCTATTTTGCTTCTCTTTTTTTTTATTTTGTCTTAATATCTGTAACACCCAGCATAGTGCTTTGTACTCTGTAGTAGGTGTTTAGCAACTATTTGTTGGAAATCGAAAGCCAGTGACCTAGAGCAATCTTCTCCATTTTGGGGGGTAAGAATGGAAATCATGAATCTTTGTCAATAAAAAAAATGAAGTTTGACTTCTAGTATTTGCATATTTAATCTACAAAATTATATATGTACTACTATATTAATAGTTATGTGCATTATAAAACTTACATTAAATGGTGATTTTAAAAGAATGACATGATGAAATATTATCTGATCCTAGAGTGAACAGAGAGCCACTGCAGTTTATAGAGTGGGGGAGTACAATGACCAGACCTACCCTTTATGAAAATCACTTTTTTTGATTATGTGAAGGATTGATTGGAAAGGGAAGAGAACCAGGCAGGGAGACTAAATAGGAGTCTATTTCAGTAGTATAGGCAAGAGGTGATCAAAGGGTCTGATTAGGGTGGGGCTAGACAAATAGAAGGAAACACATGCTAGAGATGTCCTGTAAGTAGAAACTATGAGACGTTGTAACTAGTTGGAAGTATGGGGAGAGTAAGGGAGGACTCAACGTATAACAAACACCAAGGTTGTAAAGTTACGTGGCCAGAAGGATGGTAGTGGCTTTGACAATGATAGAGAAGTTTTAGGGGAAAGATGATAAAATGAAATCTGCCAGGAAGATCACAACCCATTCATGGCTTTTTATCCAGGGGACTCACTCAATCCGACCCAAAACGTGAAGGAGACAAGATTCTTACTCACTGTCACTGCCCAAGAGCTCCCAGCCTGCCTTCCAAAGAATTCAGGGCTTGCTGCAAACAAGAGGTAAACTGGGAGGAGAGGGTGGCCTTGCAGGAGGGCTAGTGGGGAGAAGACTGTATGGGAATTTTCCTAATGGCATCAGGCTGCTGCAGGTGCCCAGAGAGCCCTTAGTTTATTACCACCCTAAGGTGTAAAGGGTTGGGGAGAGGTTTGAGCTTACACTGGAGAGGGAGGCGTGAAGGGGAGTATCTATGGAGCATCAGGCTAAGTGCTGTGTTGGAGACAAGCCCCATGATTGGCTATGGTGGAGAGAGTGGGATGTGACCCATCTTCCCACCCTCTAATTGGTTGATCACAGATCCTTTGAGGTCAGGCTGTAGCCCCCTTAGAAATCAAGCAAACTCCCCTATTTCAAGCATGAATCTAATCTTCTCTCTCTCTAGGCATTGTCTGCTGTTCCGGAATCTTCTATTATGTGAACTGTGACTCCTTGATTTTCAGTTGTATTGGCCTAACAGAATTCTTAAAATAACACAGTATATTAATGTGAGCTATTATAAATGTGATCTTCCATCAAGCATGGTTCCTGAGATTCAGCATTTAGCATATAATCCATCCAATTATATTCTTTCTGTAAAAGTATCATTTTTTAATTAAAATAACAACCAACAGTTAAATATTTTCTAAATACAAACACTGGGTGACTTAAAACCAAATGCTAACACCTAGGTATATAGACAGGTATCACTTCAGTCACTAAACCTCAACTGTTTTTATCCAGTTTACCCAAATTGAATTGAAAATTACTATCATCCAGAGTGCCTGGAGAGGTGCATAGTCAATATGAATAGGCCACAGCACACAACAAGGAACTATAAAGAAGAATTGTAATAAAAGATTTTATTTATTTTGTTTAATGGAGGATCATAAAAGAAGCCAATAGAAAGCCTGGATGTGATGGTTTCTTTAAGATGTCAAAAGAAAGCTGGAAATGCCCTGGGCATGTTTAGTGGACTTCTTTTCACGAGCAGATGGGAGGACATGGACAGTAGTCACTTGGGATGGGTAGGCATAGATGGGTGGTAATCTGAACCATAGGAGGAAATGTCCACATTGATGAAATCACAAATCTATTTGAGTGAGTACCTGAACCTTGATTTCTTTTTAGAGTCAGAAAGCTTCTGATATCTATTTGATATCCAACAGAGTTTTATGTTTTGAGGGCTTCAGAAAAACAGTATGACTCAGCATGAAAGCTTACAGCTTAAGCTGGATTCCAACCCCCCCCCTTTTTCTTTCCTACCCCCCCTTCAGGTGTTAAAAACCTATAATTAACTGTTTACCCTAATTACTGTACTTTATTCCAGCCTCCTGCTAACCCCAGGCACCTGAAGTCTTTTTTCCTTCAACAGTCAGTGTGAAGAAGAAAAGAAAAAATCTATCCCCCTCAATGTCTTTATAAAGCCTTCATGATGACTTTCTTCTAATCAAGAAAAAAAAAAATTGACTGCCAAGTTCCCAACCTACTCAATTAACATCTTTGTTCTCAATTTACCAATGTTTACTTTTCAGGTAGGTGGATACAGTGGTGGGCCTGGCATCAGAAAGACCTGAATTCAAATTCAACCTCAGACACTTAGCAGCTGTGTGACCCTGGGCAAGTCACTTAACCCAGTTTGCCTCAGTTTCCTCAATTATAAAATGAGCTGGAAAAGGAAATGGTAAACCACTCCAGCATCTTTATCAAGAAAACCCAAAAAGGGGTCACAATTGAACAACATCACTAAACTGTGCAGTTTCACAACCTGTCAGGAATAACTTGCTTCTTAAAGGGCCAAACATCATCATCATCATCATCATCATCATTATTATTAACATTGCTAGGAAACCAGCCTAAGAGTAAACAAGAGCTGAGTTCAAGCTCTGCCACTTATTGGATGCAACCCTAGGCAAGGCACTGAAGTTATCAGTGCTCCATACAATTCCCTAAGACTAAATACATAAATACATTGTGAATAGTTACTGATCTGCTTTGGTAGAGGGGAGGTTCCTCACCACTAACTCTAATAAACCAACACAGTTCTGAACCTCCCCTCTTGCTCCACCCCAAAAACCCTAAAAACCTTTGACTATTTTTAAACACATAGAAACAGAACAGTTTTTAAACAAAATAAGTTATACAGTAGTTGTTTTAATAAGATCACAAATCTTATGGGGTTTCCAATTCAGAAAAATTAAATCAATCTACACTTTACTCATTGAAGCTCTAAGAGCACCTAGTTTCAATTCTCAAATTACCTCTAGAGATGTCATGATGTTTGTTAGCATTATGTTGAAATGGAAGGTAAGATAAGCCAATAAGTACTTATTAAGTATCTGATCTATGCCTGGTACCAATCAACCCTATCATTTATTCTTGAGATTTCACTCACTTTTTAGGGAGTGATTAAATCAAACCCTTTTGGTTTTTTTGTACTCTTGAAAAATATGGTTTCTAGAAAATAGATGGAAAATTGATGGCAAGCATAGTAGACCTGATGGAGAAGCTGGAAATCTAGAGATAAGTCAAAAAAGCAAAGAATTATAACATAGAACCAAAAAAAAGAAATTTTCCGAACAAAATCTTTAGGAAGTTTTTGATGGAAAATTCTGCGTTAGCTTAAAGTTCTCATGAATGTTATCAGACGATAATTCTACCCTTCAAATTCTTGACATTTTTTCCTACAGCCTTCAAGAGGTATAAGAGAGATCTTCATTATTATTTCAAGCTTTTCTCTTTTCTCTTCCTATTCTTCTTTTAGTTTGAAATGTACATATATCTCCAAGATGCAAAGATTATGCATGAACATTATATCAAATATCAATATTGAGGTTATATCAAATGATAATGCCTTCTTAAAATAAAATTGATTAAGTTTCATGAATAGTGATTTAAATCATTATGCTCTAAATGAAATCCACACTAGGCACAGTCTTCTTTGGTAAGTAAAACCAAATAGTCTCCTTGTACTGAATTTTCCCACCATGTTTTAAACACTTTCTCTCCCTGGACCAAGTCTTTTGAGAATGATAAAATATTATGTAACTGTAGGTATAGAATTAGGAATTATCTGACCTTGGAGATCCAAGCAAAGAGAGTGCCAGCTTTTCTAATCCTGGCTCTGCCATTTGTTACTGGTGTGACCTTGGTCGAGTCATTTAATTTCTCTTGGCTTCCTCAGCTATAAATGAGGGAGTTGGACCCAATTACCTCTAGGATCCCTCCCCGTCCTATGTCTATGCCTTAGAAGTGATCCCTTTTCTCTAACATTAATTAGTGTATACATAGTCGGGAGAATCATTCATAGCTCATGAGATTTTGGAAGGTAAGAATAGCATAGAAAACTGCCATTTTTCAAAATCAAGTCAGAGAACCAACGTGGTCCTTAAAAACAGAGAAATTTCTTACCTTGTGTTTTCTAGTACTTGTTTTGACCCAACTCTTTTTCATCTTCTATACTTTCTCCCATTTAAGAGTCAAAACTATTGAATGGATCATAAATTTATAGCTGGAAGATAGATGACCTCAGAAGTCATCTAGTCCAACCCCTACATTTTACAGATGAGGAAACTGAGGTCAAGAAAAGTTAAGTTACTTGACCAGAGTTGCATGGGTAGCATAGTACAAGGATTCAAGCCCAGGTGTTCTGATCCAAACCCAGTGCTCTCTCTACCATACTACAATGGAGACGGATTTTTCTTAAAGCATCAAATGTTTTTTTGAAGCAACATTGTGATGAATTATCTCAAAGTGGAGATTGAATTCCCACTAGGATCTATGCCTATTAGGACTGGTTTATTCCTTCTGAAAACATTTGTTTGCTGTTGTGTAGACATTGGCTATCACTTGATAAAAAGGATTCATATGATAGCAAAGTGGCCTCAGAGGGATGTAAAGTAATTGGTATACACTGAGAAATGTCTCTTTAAATTAGATTTTCTGCTATTATGTACCGAAAAAGAACAAAGTGAAAAAGAGTCTCTACTAATATCTGTTTTATTTCTCTCATTTTCCTATCTGATCAAATGTACTGATAAAGTCCTTTGTTGACCCTGTGTTTATTTTTGTTACGAAGGTTCATAGATTGATGCTAGTGTTCCTGAAATGAACAGGAAGTGGATGGATTAAGTTCCTCTCTTGTTAATTGCTTCATGAATTCTTCTCTCCCTAATCCCACTGCAATTTCTCCAGCAATGAGGCACTTATGCTTCCCAAGTGGTTCAGAGAGAGAGACTTCTGCTGCAGAGGGTAAAGTAAGGGAGTTCTGTGGCATGAATCATTGAATAACATCAATCATGCACCCACTTGACCAAATAAACTTCTGTTGTACAAAATAAAGGAGCACCTGGGGAATGTTTACTGCTTTGTGAGTGATTTCAACATGCTCCCTTCTCCAGGATCTTGGAAAAATAGACTTTTGAGTGTAGAAGACATGTTCAAGTGAAAATAGTGTTTAAGCACATAGTAGGTGTTCTAAAAATGTTTCATAAGATCTCAGATTTAGAACTTCAAGAAATGTAGGGAGACATTTGGTCCAACATCCTCTTTTCACATATCAGAAAACTTTACCCAACTTACATAAGTAATAAGTAGCAGAAACAGAATTTGAACTCAGGTCCTCTGATGCCATAACCAGCAATTTTTCCACGGAAGCACATTACTTCAACTGTAAGGTCACTGTTTAAAATAATTTCTGAAGTGAATGATTAGCTCATTAGAAGAGTAAATGAATGAACTTGATTTGATAAGCAGATTGGTAAACTGATAAGTAGTACATTACAATAATAATTCCACAAATATCAAGTGCACGGACATTAAAGATACAAATATGAAAATATGAAAGTGAAATAGTCCCTGCCCCCAAGAAGCTTACATTCTACAAAGCGAATACACCATGTTCACAAGTAGGTACATAAAGTACATATACAGAATAAATATGATGATTTGGGAGATGCTAATAACTGGAGAAAACAGGAAAGACTTCTTAAAGGAGACAGCACTTTAGCTGAGCCATGTAGGGAGCTAGGGGGAGCAGGACACTGAGATGAGGAGGGTGAGCATTTCAAGCATGGGGGACAGCCTATGTAGAGGCACTAAGAAGGGGGTTGGAATGTTGCAAAGTGGGAAAAGCAAGTCAACCAGTTTGGGTAGAGTATGGAATGCATAAAGGAAGAGTAACAATGTGCCCTGGAAAGATATGCTGAAGCCAGATTGCGACAGGCTTTAAACGTCAGAGGAATTTGTATATTATCTTAGAGGCAATGAGGAGCTACTGAACCTTCTTGAGCTCACTATAACATAGTTAGAATCGCACTTCAGAAACATCAATTTGGCAACTTGTAGGGAATAGTTTTGAAAGAAAAGAAACTGCAAGCAGGAAGATCAGATTAGGA